CTTACGGATCCTTCTTGGGAAACCATATGTGGAATCAGGGATCAAATCAAAGTTGGCTGCATGTAAGACAAATGCCTAATCTCCTGTGTGATCTCTTTGATCATTCTTTATTTTGTCTCTCTAGGCTCCTACAGTTTCTAACAACTGGAGAAGCAGAGTTGGATCAAAAAAAAATTTTAAACCCAGGCACTGCATATGGTATCCCAGACACTGCTATGAGGGATCCCTGAGCACAGAACCAGGAGTAAGCCTGGAACACTGTTGGGTGTATCCCAAAACCTCACCCTTTTAAAGTCTTCAGAGAACCCTGCTTTGGAGACTTCTCTCTCAGGCCATGGGCACCTTCCTGCCTTTTCCCTTCTTTCTAATTGCAGCAATTTTTTTTTCTGAATTAGAAAAAATTTGGGGCTGGAGCGATAGCATGGGGCTAGAGTGATAGCACAGCACGTAGGGCGTTTGCCTTGCACACAGCCAACCCAGGTTCGATTCCCAGCATCCCATATGGTCCCCCAAGCACTGCCAGGAGTAGTTCCTGAGTGCATGAGCCAGGAGTAACCCCTGTACATTGCCGGGTGTGGCCCAAAAAGCAAAGGCCCTCCCGTTGATCGTCGATTTGCTCGAGCGGGCCCAGTAACGTCTCCATTGGAGACTTTGTTGTTACTGTGTCTGGCATATCGAATACTCTCGGTAGCTTGCCGGGCTCTCCGAGAGGGGCGGAGGAATCAAACTCGGGTCGGCCATGTTGGCCGCTTGTAAGGTGAACGCCCTTACCCGCTGTGCTATCGCTCCAGCCCCACCTCACCTCCATATGGTAGAAAAATTTAATGAAATAAAACAAAGTACTCAAGTGCGATGTTCTGTTGTCCTATTCAACTGATAGAGCACTACCCAAAATCTAGACTCCATCAAGCTTAGGTTAAACTGAATTACTGCTTCCCATCCCTTTCCATTTATTAGTTTACCTGTGAAAGTGGCGTTATGGAGCTGTGCAGACTCATAAAAGAAATAAACACAAATTTCTGGAGAAGTGCACCAAATACGCTATGGAGCTAAAGTAATTAAAACAGTTTGGGATTCCTGGAGGAGGAACAAAGACTTAGGAAACAGAACAGAGCATCTAAGGGAAAATCTGTAGGTGGGAATTTAGTATTTGAAACGGAGACATTTCAACAACTGAGGAAAGGATGGAATATCTGATAAGTGGGATAAGACAACTGGAGAGTCATATGGTCAGCCAGATGGGAAAAGGCAGATCCTAATCTCCCAAAGGATTAAAGACACTCAACTATTAGGAAAACATATACCCATAAAAGTCATGGTGGGTGGAGGAGATAAAGGGATAAAGCACATGCCTGGCATATACAAGGGTCAGTGTTCAAGCCCCAGCACCACTGGTCTCCTGACACTGGGCGTAGTCCTGGTGGTTCCTAACAATGCTGAGCCCCCTTAAAAAAGTAACATTTGGAGACAATACAGGAGTTGGAGCACAAGGAACTAGGACAGGAGTTAGTCCATTCAGCAGATCTCCAGCACCACGTGGCCCCTAGAAATACCACCAGGTGCAGCCCTAGAGGCTCCCAAGCACCACTGAGGTGATCCTGGCACTCCCTGACACCACAGGGCCTGAGCAGCCCCATACCCTCAGTCCTAGCAATAAACTAACTGGGCCAACTGGCCAAGAATCATAGGGATGGCCCCTGGTCCCCTGAGCACTGCTATATGAGTTCTCCCCTCCCCCCCCAAAAAAACATAACAACAAAAGCCAAGGAAGAAGACCTTGGCTGTTTTAGAATAATTTAAATAGACTAAAATTCTGGTATACACTAAACAATTCAGAACAAGTAACAAACTGGAGGAAATAGCTGTAGTATACATAGGCCTGAGAGGATTCACATTCATTCTCTTTCATAATGAATTACAAAGCCAGCAAGACATCAAGATGGACATCAAATGTGGGCATGCCAATCTCACAGTAAGAGAAATGAATAAAACACATTAGGAAAAAATGCAAGGGGGCAACAGGGAATTAATTTTTAAAGTACCTTTTACTGGGGCTGGAGTGACAGTAAAGTGGGTAGGGTGTTTGCCTTGCACGCGGGTGAGCCGGGTTAGATTCCCAGCATCCCATATGGTTCCCTGAGCATCAGGGAGTGATTCCTGAGTGCAGAGTCAGAAGAAACCCATGAGCATCACCAGGGGTGACACTCCTCCCCTCCCCCTGCCAAATACTTTTCATTAAGGAGCCAGGGCTTTTTTTTTCAACCTAGGTTCAATCCCCAACACCCCATATGATCCCCTGAGACTGTCAGGACTTATCCCTGAGTACAGATCCAGGAGTAAGACTGGAGCACCGCCAGGTATGGCCAAAAACTAAACCAAAAAAAAAAAAAACCTTTTACTCAACTAAGAAAAACAATAGATTATCTAAGTGTTGGCTAGAGATAGAGAAAAGAAGACTTCCGTGCCCTATTAAAATACCTTTACATTAGGCATTTTTAAGGGTAATTTGACAATTATACAGGTTAATTTTGAAGGCAGAAATGATACTTCTAGGAACTCTACAAGGAATATGTGCACTAAATTTTATGACTTAGCTTGTTTATACAATATTGTTTACAATAATCCCTAAATGGGAACAATCTAAATGTCAGTCAAAGCTACACCTACACCCAGATAAGTATAGATGCCTGAATATATATACATATATATATATATATACATATATATATATGTGCTTGGGCTGGAGTACAGCACAGGGGTAGGGCGTTTTGCCTTGCACGCAGCCAACATGGCCAACCTGAGTTCGATTCCGCCGCCCCTCTCGGAGAGGCCGGCAAGCTACCAAGAGTATCTCGCCCGCACGGCAGAGCCTGGGAAGCTACCCGTGATGTATTCAATATGCCAAACACAGTAACAACAAAGTCTCCAATGCAGACGTTACTGGGCCTGCTCGAGCAAATTGATGAACAATGGGAGGACAGTGACAGTGATATATGTGCTTAATATGCTGTAAAATGTCTTAAAAGGTATCCCACCAACTGTAGAGAAGTTCATTCTAGGCAAAAGAATAGGATGGGGGAGAAGAGGGCTTCAGATATTTGTAGGAGGATAAAAACATATGGGAGCCCTGTACTGTTTTTGCAGCTCATCTGTAAACCTTCACCAATTTTAATTTAATAAGAAAGCATTCTTATACTGATACGAAATATAGGAGCTGGAGAGATAGTATAGCGTGTAGGGTGCTTGCTTTGCAGGGAGCCAACCTGGACTTGATCCATGGCATCCCATACGGCCCCCTGAGCACCGCCAGGAGTGATTCCTGAGTGCAGAGCCAGTATCACCAGGTGTGACCCACAAAATGAGAGAGAAAAGAATAAATATAAGAATGATATAATTTTAAGTGAGTTCTCTAGACCCACTTCCATTTCTATGATCCTAATCCTAACTTTTCCTCTAGCATAAAGCTGTTTGAAATCTTTATAACTTACTAATCGAATCATTTCTTTCCTCTCAGTTGTTCCTAAACCGCTTACAATGTTTTAGTCCTCCTAGCTATCTTATAAAGATCACCAATGTTGGCTAAGTCATCGCTGGCTCATCCAAATTCACCCTTTACTGTCGTACATGAGTATGACAGGCTGACCAGTCCAATCTTCTTGGAATACTTCATCATCTAGCTTCCTGACCCCATACATAACTCCTTTTTCCTCCAACCTCTTCTTTGCAACAGTTTTGCGTCTCTTAGAGCCCTGAACCTCGTCATCCTTATGAATTAGTGTGTGTGGGCCACTAATATAGCACAGGCAACCCCAAACAAGCAGAACATGGAATAAGTGACCACAATGGGTAAAAACAATCACATGTTTGAAAAAACATGAATGAAAGAAATCTTACCTCATCTCTTGAGGTTTCTTGGGCTACATAATGACTAATTGACAGAGGGAAAGAATCAGGCAATCATTTGGTCTTTTCTATTCAAACTTACTGGGGGGGGGGTGCATTTAAAGTCAGGGCAACTAATCCCTCATGAAATAGAAGGTCTAGGCAATGATTAATAGCTACTAAGATGATCTTGTGAAAGGTTGACAAAGTACTTAGCATTGGATATATCAGAAAGATGACCGCTGAACCCAGCAGCCCATCTTATCAGCATTGAAAGTTGACCACTTAGACATTACATCCCTCCTTGTGTGATGAAACAGGAAGCACAGAACATCGTCTGCAATGTACGCTTGGGGGGGAAAAAATCTTGACTTTAAATCTGAAGAAGCTATACATTCAATATCAGTTTACATAAAGGAGGTTAGAGAACTGTTTTAAATTATCCTGAGAATACAGTAAGCAGGGATCAAAACCCGGGAACGTCTGTGGGACAAATGACCCCGAGACTGTGAGAAAAGTCTACAGGGGACTGGTTATCATCACTCGGATTTCATTCAGAATATATGAGCAAAGAGACATGGAAGGTGGGGTGAGAATGTTGAAGCGGTGGAGGATGTGGGGAGACTCTGCGACAAAGGTGGGGGTTAAAAAATGGGTACTCTGGTAGTGGATGTGGTGCTGGAATGTTGTAGACATAAATCTCAACCACCAGCATATCTGTAAAATTGTTAACCATATTGCTAAAAAGAATTTTTTTCAAGTTCAGTTTAGATAAAATTAATAGAATGTTGTCATTATAGCTAGGTGGTAGACATGTGGGAGTTCGTTTTTTAAAGTTTCCATGAGATTTGAAAGGATTTTTTTTTTTGGAGGGGGCCACACCTCACACTTGGTGGTGCTCAGGGTATACTCCTGGCTCTGTGCACAAGGATCATTTCTGGTGATGTTTCAGGAAACATGTGCTCAGGGGACCCATCCCCTCATATGTGCTCTTTTGAAGATCCAGTTTTCCTACAAGCTTTCAATTTCCAAACCTAACTCTCAGGTCCCAAGAAGCAAGGGAGCAGGCTCGTCAAACAGGACTTGAAAGAAAAGCACACTCAACATGGAATGAAAAGTGTGTTTAAGTTATGTTTACTGAGTATAAGAGATATGTGCTGCTGTTAATTCACAGACAGCCACACACAAAACCATATTCTCAGATGGTTCGATGTAAGGAGATGTCTTCCCCCACCTAAGGAGAAAGAAAGTCTTTATTGGCCAATTAATTTAAGGTACATTGTGACATCATCAAACAGTCATTTATAAAAGAAAGCCAATCTTGGTCAAGAGCAGCTCACTCAATGAAGCCTTTGTCAAAAAAAAAACAAAAAAAGTGAATTGCCAAAGTCTGTTCACTGACTTTTCCATGCTCACCAGGCTGGTCATGGAATTTTCAGCCTTCAAAAATGCGACCAAATCTGGGTAGCTTCTTCCTGCCATAGTTGACACAGCCTCGCCGTTTCCTGACTGGCCGCCCATTGCTGGCTTCTCTCCCTCCCTCTGCCTGCCTCCTACCACCACTTCTCAAAGCAGATGTGTTCTCTGGGAACCTGGCTGGCTTCCAGTTGCTTGGAGAAAAAGTCTGTCATTAGAGGTGGGCCACAGATATAGAACAACGTTTCTTTGGAAATATGATCCCTTAGCTGCTTCTCAGTTATTCTTCCTTCTGCCAACAACAACAAACAACAACAACAACAACTTGAATAATCGTCAGTGGGAACCTGACATGTTTGCATTGCAGGAAGGGAGGCCCAGCTACAACCTGGCCTCCCAGTGTTTATTGTCAGGGTCACAAACACAAAAGTTTAGTGGGGTCCTGGGCACCCCCACCATGCTGGTGGAGTTAAGGGCTGTGGACTCCAGCAGGAGCCTTCACAGGTTGCCTAACGTGGTGACAAGCAAAGTTGAGGGAGCAAGAGAGCTCATCTTAGGGTGCTCTTCAGATCAGACAGCTAGTTTATTGATGTCGGGGAGAGATTCAGAAGGGCTGCCAGCCAGTGAATAAAGTGAATAAAGAAAAATTCTTCTTTTGGAAGAATCCTTCCGAGCAGGTGAAACTCAGACTGTCATGAAATAAAGGAAGAATGGAATTGACTGGGCCAAAGCAGGACTAGAAATCCTGTATACAGCGACTTAAAGTGACGTGTGCAGACTCGGTGGGGAGGGAGGTGGGGGAAGCATTTTTGACATGGCTGGGAGGGAACCTATGGATGGCAACTTCACCTCCCCATTTCCTGGGATGAACCCTCTCTCCACCCCCAAGGGGGTCACATTCCCAGCCAGAACTCCCAATGCGCAGTGTCCGACCAAAGCACGCACGGGCACAGCCTCAGTCAAAACAGCTGCGGGGGACTCACCCGTGATGTACAGCTTGAGGTCTGAGCTGATTTGTGTAGTCTGCTTGGTAACATGCAAACTGCATGCAATCTTCTCAGGAAATTCATTTACTAAATCGAGGATATTTTGCTGGAATGTCAAACATATTTGGTCACACTACGATTCTGGAAAAATCAAAACAGATGTGCACCAACCACCGCCGCCGCCCCTCCACTCCCATCCCGTCCACACGGGGCACGCATACGCCCCACTTCCAAGAGCCCGCTGCCTCGATGGATGGCCGGGCCCTGCACGCGGAGGACAAGGGGCGAGCTGGCTGCCGCTGAAATCTGAATATGCTAACAAGCATATTACGAACTCTCCGGGAGGGGTTTTGTTTTTTATCTTTTTCCCTTTTTTCTCCAGCCTTGGCAATTAGGCAGCAGTTTCACTGACCACAGTTGTGTCTTTTAACTGGTTTTATTCTTTTGTTCATCCTCGCAGCTGCAGAGTGAAAGCTTTCTCCATCAAATGTACTTAATTTCAACAGAGGCAACGACAACGACGACAGGAGGGGGGATGGGACGGGGTGAGGGTGTGTGTGGGGGGGTTTCCATTTATCCAGCAGGGTCCCAACTGTGGTGCCTCACCTACTCCTGCAGCTCCGAAGCCCCCTGACTCTCTGGAAGCTCCACGGAGACAGCCATGCCCTCTGCCTCAGTCTCCCGCCTTGCTCTAAGAGGCCTGCTTACCACTGGGCCTACTAAAACTGCCTGAATAGGATGTGCCGGTGTGTCCTTCAGTGGACATCAGAATCCTTAGCCACCTTTTGTTGGAACTGGGGAGACCCCTCTGTTGGGTAACATTGCTTTGTCCTTCAAGAAGCTTAGGTTTTATCTGGTTACACCCATCAATCTGGTTACACCCACCACAGTGCTCCAGAGGCACTTCCACTTCCATTGTGTTTACATGTAAACATGTAAACAGTCTTTCCTATGCTCTCCTTCCCACCCAGTTAATCAGCTTTCCCCTTAATCAGACTTTGTTAATTTGTAAGATCAGTTTCCCAGAAATCTATGATTTTATATGTATGAGTGAAATATTGCCTTTCTCCTCTCCCTATGCCTTATGAATAGTTTACCTTAAAGTAATATCCTTTTTGTATAGATACAGGAAGACCGTTAACATTATGCTTTGTAACTTAGGATTTGATTGGCCTTGAATATTATTCACTCCTGGGCATCTTTCTCGACTTAAGCCTCAGTTGCCCTTAGTTCCTAACACCCCAAAAGCAGGGTCCCGACGAGGGACTGAATGGACCCAGGGCAAGCAGTGAGCTACCCTGGCAGCGAAATGGGCCAGGCCAAGGTGCCACGATTCTTGGAACGATAGCACAGCGGGTAGGGCGTTCGCCTTACACGCGGCCAACATGGCCGACCCGAGTTCGATTCCTCTGCCCCTCTCGGAGAGCCCGGCAAGCTGCCGAGAGTATTCGATATGCCAGACACAGTAACAACAAAGTCTCCAATGGAGACGTTACTGGGCCCGCTCGAGCAAATCGACGATCAATGGGAGGGCCTTTACCTTTACCTTAAGTTAAGAGTTTGATCATGGACAAATGCTGTCATGATCCAAGGTAACGACAAGACTAGGATCCTGCTAGGGGTGGGAAAGACTATCTGGCCTGAGCACCGTAGTCTGAGATCAAGATGGCCCTAGGAGAGCAATTCTATAAGTTTAAGATATTTCTTACTGTATCCATACAAAATGATTTATATTATATTCTTGTATGCTTGTCGGACAAGGAGAGGAGAGGCACGCCCATGGGATTCTGCTCTAGGGTGGGTCCTCCTGCTAAGGAAGGATCTGTCCTAGGAGCGGTCTTCCCTGAGGCTAAGATTTCTACCCCTGTTGATCTCCACCCCTATTGATTGTGACCACACCTATGTGTATTTGTTCCCCCAATTCCTCATGGGGAGAGGATTTAACTGTACTGTAGGAGTGAGACAGGGGCAGAAGGATGAAGAGAGTTCATAGAGGATCAGAAGAGAGAGGAGGATGAAGTGGGGTGGAGAAGGAGAATGAAGTAGCTGGAGGAGGAAGAATGGGGGGCAGAGAGAGACGGGGAGAGACAGAAGGAGAGATGAGGAGAGAATCAGAATAAACTACGACTAATACCTACCAGCCTGGCCCTCGTTCCTTCCTCTGCCTGACCATCGCCATCGACCTCTCCGGGGTGGGAGAAGGGTGAGACTACCGAATGCAGGTGACGGGAGAGATAGAGCCACCGCCGCTGTGGGTGCCGAGCCACCTATCTTGTGTGAGTTTACACACCCCTCAGGGTTGTGGAGATTCCCTGCAGCCCCCCTCCACCGTGAGACAGCCCCGTGTCTCTCACCTTAAACAGAAGCTCGCTGGTATTCTTCGCGCTGTACAAGAGTCTGATCCGCCCCGTCTCGTAGCCGCTTCCTTTGTTTGCGTGTTCTCTGTGGAGGTCGGCCGCGTGCCGCAGGATGGAGAGCAGAGGGTTAATGCCGACTCCCCCCGCAATCAGCACAAGGTTTCTCGAGGCATCTGTAGGTTGAGGGTCAAAGTAGAACTCTCCGCCCACTCTCAGGGCCACTTCGGAGTCCAGGGTGCACTGAGGCCGGGGAGAAGAGAGCCTTTAGTCCCCTGAGCACAGGAAGGCCACCACATGCGGCCCTGTGCAAGCGCCCACGCCCGTATCCAGAACTTTCCTTGGATGCACGAGGCAGGGCTTGCTCTCCCTTCTCCCAGGGCACTGGGCATTGTTTCCACTTTGTCCATGGCTGCCTCTGCCTAGTTGGTTAGGCCGCAGAGCCGCTCTGGTGCTGAGAAAAGGTAACCGCTTTGGTAATTTGGCCCTGTGTTCAGTCTTTAAAACAGGACATGGTGGGGCTGGAGCGACTGCACAGTGGGTAGGGTGTTTGCCTTGCACGCAGCAGACCCAGGTTCAATTCCCAGCATCCCATAGGGTCCCCTGAGCACTGCCAGGAGTAATTCCTTAGTGCAGAGCCAGGAGTAACCCCTGTGCATCACTAGGTGTGACCCAAAAAGCCAAAAAATAAAATAAAAATAAATAGGACATGGGGTGAGGAAAGTTGTTGTGGGGGGTCTCGGGTTCCAAGTATGGGTTTCCTTTGGTCAGGTGTGTTCTGGTCCAAGCTGTGAGCTGAGAGGGGCGGGACAGGGCGGCAGTCTTGATGCACCGGGTGAGCGAGCTCGGTGTCAGCTGGGCTTCCTCGTGGCCCCTTGCAGGACGTGGTCAGCCAGAGCACTCAGGTTTCGGCCAGCCATGTGGTCCTGGGTGATAATGTCCCCAGAGCCCAAGCCACTAGAGAGACTTCACAGGAAGGGCTGGGAACCCCGCATCACGCACATGTATAAAGCAGGGCTGAGGAGGTTCCACTCATAGCGGAAACTCAGGAGGGGAAGGCACCTGTGTGTCACGAGGGGAGACCTGTGGGGTCCCCTTCTTCCTGTCACAGTATGCCCTGACATGCAGCAGGCAGAGCAAGAGATCCCAGAGGTCCTGGGTCGTGAGAGCTGCCCCAACTTATTGGCAGGTAAGTCCTGCAGCAATGCTGAGAGTCGGTTTCTACAGGCTCTACAGGTTTCTACGTCCTGGTTTGAAACCAGCCACGGCAGGAGGGTGCACAGCACAGACGCCAACAAACATGCTGCCGCTCAGGCCTGCACTCAGAGCTCTGGTCTAGTGGAGCACCATCCCCTGTGAGTCCAGGGCTGGCCAGGGAGGGTCAGACACATAGCGGGAAATAGGCCGAAGTGCTGGAGATCAAACCCAGGGTTTCCTACACAAGCAAGGCATGAAGTCTAGCTCCAAGTCGCACTCTTCTGCCCGAGGTCCCAGTACCTCTTACAAAACCTGCCTTGTAAGATCTGGTACACTCTGAATTTTGCAGGATGCAGCCATGAGGCCAACTTCCACACCACTGGCTTCCAACCTCCACCGAGCATATTGGCTGTTCTGGAAAACCACAACATCCCTGTTGGTCACATGCGTACATGGTCCTTCCCCCACGACATGGTGTATGATCTGCCACTTGGACAGGGCATTCACCTTGACCCCACACTGTGGAACAGTCACCATCCCCTCCTCTGCCTCCATACCACCTTCTTGATCTGATGTTCCCTTTCCTCTACTTTCCCTCTGCATCAAGGACAGAAGTTAGCTCTCTTTGATGTTCCTCTGTATTGATCATATGAATTGTGAATTTCATCTTAGGAGAGCTCTAGAAAGGGGGCACTGGCTCCGACCTGGCTGAGGGGCCTGAGTTTTAGAGGTCAGCATGCTGATCAAAAAGTCAGAAGACTGAAATTTAACCAGCCAGCCCTGGAAGTCTGCTGGGCCTCCGTGGGATGGCCTCTGGAAAACGGGCAGCCATGGCTTGGGGAAGGCACTGGGGCTGCCACAGTCTCTGTCACAGGGTCGTGGAAATCATCACTGAAGTCTGAGAGGGTGCCTACTTCCTCCCCTCACTGACAACTGCACATGGAGCAGAGTGTGGGGCCACTGCACACTCCCGACAATGATCAAGCAGACAAACGCCCTCCTAAACCGTGACGACATGCTTCTAAGACCCCCTCAAGGTGCACATTCAGCCCTCACTTCTCAGCCCCTTTTATGGCAGGTAGACGTTTAAGTACTTTGTGCCATTCTCTGGATTTGAGCCTTATGACTTAAGAACTCATCTTAGAGGAAATCTATGGGGAAAAGGGAAATGATTAGGACTCACAATCTCTGTTATTTTTGGTAAAGAGCTGGTAAGTGAATGGAAACCCTTTCTCTGAGGGCTGAGGGATGGTAGTGAGAAGCCCGCACCAAATTAAATAAGAAGGAGAATTTTACATGAGTGATGCGAAGTGGGTTCTCACTTCAGGGGTAAAGGGGAGGATGTGTGACACCCAGTGGTGCTCACGGCTTACTCCTACCATTATGCTCAGGGATCACTCCTGGCAGTGCTCAGGGGACGATATGCAGTGCTTTGGTCTGAAGCAGGGTTGGCTGCATGCAAAGCAAATGCCTTAATCCTGTTCTTATTCTCATCCCCACCTCTCTCTAGCTATTCTATTTCTCTCTTTATCTCTCTGTCTCTGTCTCTGTCTGTCTCTCTCTTTCTCTGTTCTCATTTTTGACAAGGGGAATTAGCTGCAAGGATGCATTCTGACAGGAGTAACTAAAATCTCGGATTTTCTATATCCTAGAGAGCAAAGTGCTTTAAAATGTGCAGCGCCTCTGCCTAACACTGAGAATGGACTTCCTCTCTCTGCCCTCTGCACCCCCAACCTACACTTGCCTGCACAATTCCCGCTTTCCTGAGGCACAAGAAACTAAAGGAGACAAGAGATGAAAGAGAAACAATTCTCTCCGATGGTCCTTAGCAATGACAACAGGCAACGCCTCTGGTTATTGTTTTGAAGAGACCAGAGTCCTTTCAACCCCAAAGTTGGCAGGAAAACACATCCAGGAAAATGGGACTCCCCCAGAGTCTGTCATCTCTTTAGCAACAAAATCGTCTTTAGGAGACTTAGTTTCTAATTTGCCAGCACCTGGAAAGAATCAAAAGTCACTGTTGTTTCTTGTGGAACCAGAAAAGCTCCGAATTGGGTGAGCGCAAGACTCAAAGTCTTGGACTGCAGAGCTTGGAGTGAAGCTCACTGCCCCCCGGACGTAGCTCCGGGTCCCATCTGGCTAGAGACTTGCTACTTGCCAAGTAAACAACCCTTCCTTGGTACTTGCAGTCCGACACACAATAGCTGCCTAGATCCCTTTCCCATGCCAGAAGCTTGAGCCAAGGCAGATAAAATAAAGGAAGACATTTCCAGCACTTTATGCCCTGTCCCCACGGAGCAGTCTACGGCCACCCAGAACACTCACATGCCTCCATTGTCCACCTTAATAGCTTAATAAGACAAATCCTCAGGAGGGAGGAAAAAAAGGCACCAGAGATGGTTCCAAGCACAATCTGCCCTCATCAAGACTGTCTGCAGCCCCCACAGGCAGAGTGGAGCAGGCCGTACAATTAGGCTGTGCGTTCAAGCAGTTCTCGACGGAGATTTCCTACCGCCTCCAAGAGTAAGTTCCTCCATTAAAATGCCAATGAGGCATGAAACCAAGCAGGGCACTGTGGACCAGGCAAGAATGGGCAGGGGCCAAGAGGGATGCTGGCAGTGAGGGGAGGGGTTGCACACTCACAGCAGGGGTGCTGAGCTGGTTGTAACCCTGAGCATGGGGACACCAGGACACCTGGCTGGCATTATGCAAAAACACTCAGAGAAGACAGTGATGGGTGGGAAGTCCAAGGAGATGGCACTGAGGAAGGAGGCAGCTGAGGCCACACGCCAAAGGGGGACTCCATGAGAAGCGTCAACATGACCATGTCCACTCCCAAGGGGAACGCGAAGACAGACACTCAAGGGTCCTGAAGGGGCACGCAGTGACATAAGAAACACAGAGGAGGCTATGTGCATAAGTGCCCTTCTAGATTCTTCTACTTTTACTGTTAAAGTGACCTCGTGCTATAACTCCCCCCCCTTTGGTGTCCAGTTCTATGAATTTTGTAGGCAGATCTGTGCCAATGACTACCTCTGTCAAGATACACAACAGTTCCATCACCCCCAAAAGCTCCCTCCCCAAACCCTCTAGTCCATCATGCTCACCCCTATGCCTGTGATCGTTGTTTCACTGTTGTATTTTGTCTTCTAGAATGCGATAAGAATGTTATGCTCGGGATGGTAGATGCGTGCTGAAAGTAGATTATAGACCAAACATGATGGCTACTTACTACCTATATTGCAAACCATAACACCCAAAAGGAGAGAGAGAGCAAGAGGTAATGTGCCTGCCACCGAGGTGGGGGGTAGGGGGATGGAGTGGGAGTGTCAGGAGGGATGCTGGGAACATTGGTGGTGGAGAATGGGCACTGGTGGAGGGATGGGTACTCGATCATTGTATGACTGATATGTAATCACAAAAGTTAATAAGTCTGTAACTGTATCTCAGATTCATTAAAAAATATATTTAAAAAAAAAGAGTGAGGGCTGGAGCAATAGCACAGCGGGTAGGGCGTTTGCCTTGCAGGCGGCCAACCCGGGTTCGATTCCCAGCATCCCATATGGTCCCCTGAGCACTTCCAGGGGTGGTTCCTGAGTGTAGAGCCAGGAGTAACTGCCAGATGTGACCCAAAAAGCCAAAAAAAAAAAAAAAAAAGAAAAGAAAGAGAGTGATAGGTTACATGGTACATAGTCCAAGGAGACTTGCTCCTATCACTCAACATTGAGACTCCAGAATCCACCCTGTTGGGGTACAAGAAGTTCACCCCTCTGAGGAACTGGACAAGGGCCCAATCCATGGGCTGAATATATTACAGTGTATTATTACTCACCTGGTGTGGAGTATTTGGGTTGTTTCCATTTTGGGGTACCACACCAGGATGCTTTTATTTTGTATTTATGACTAGAACTGCTAACAGCATCCATGTATAGGTTTTTAAACCAACAGAGCTTCTAGTTCTCCAGAATACATAGCAGGATACCAGGAAGTTAAATTATATATTTAACTTCATATGAAACTGTCAAAATGTTTTCCAGACTGCCTGTGGTACTGTTGCCTACCTGCTCCCAAGTGAGATAAGCCAAACAGGAACGTTTCCGTTGATTTGGATCGTTGTTGACAGTTGGCATTGTCCAAATTTACATTTTTACTCATTCTAATAAGCTCCTAGAGGTATCCCACTATGTATGGCTCTAATCTGCATTTTCCTAATGGTTAATGATGCCAGGTATCTTTTCACTGCATATTCATCCTCCTATCCTTCTGGGGGTCGGGGGCTGGGGGGCCGTACACTGCAGTGCTCAGTGACTACTCCTGGCGGTGCTTGGGAGATTATATGTGATGCTAGGGGTCAAACCAGGGTCTATCTCAGGCTAGGCAAATGCCTTAACCCTTGACTATTATCTCTCTAGACCTTTTTAGCAAAGTGTCTGTTCAATCCTGGCCCACTTTTAGATTTTGTTGCTTGTGTTCTTTTGAGAGTTTTTCATAAAATCCAATAAAATCCTTGATTGGAGAGCTGAGAGAATTTCTCCTAGTCTGGAGTCTATTTAAAAAAAAAAAAAGATCCAGAGAACAGTGTGTTTTGCAACAACACGTCAATTTTGAATATAAAGTATGAGATTGAGGTCAAAGTTCCTTTTTTTAAACATATGTACATACAAATTCCAAATATGATTTCCCCAATGACCTTTGTGATAGAATTTCTCCTGTCTGTCACCAGTCCTGTGCAGCCCTTTGATAAAACCCCATTGTTCAGAGGCATTTGCTGGGAAGGCTTTTCTTTCGCCACTGAATTCCTTTAGCATCTTCTTGTCAAAAATTGAGTGATCACACGGGTGTCAATTTCTGAGCTCTTTATTCTGTTCCCTTGATCTATGGATCTGTCTCTTCACCAATACCATACTGTTCTGATTAATATGATTAATTTAGCTGTACTTCAATGATATTTGCATAATGTATTTACTACTACTTTACTTATTTTCTTCCAAACTGTTTCAAAATTCTACCTCCTTGGGCCCAAGTGATAGTACAGCTGGTAGGGCACTTGCCTCATATGCAGCCTGACCTAGGTTTAATCTTAGGCACCACATATGGTCCCCTGAGCCCTGTCAGGAGTGATTCCTGAGCACAGAGACAGGAGTAAGCCCCGAACGAAGTCAGGTATGGCCCAATTACAATTTTTTTAATTTAAAATAAAAAATGAAATTCTAAGTCCTTGCTCTCACAGATACACATTAGAACTGGTTTGCACATATCTATAAAAAGTCCAGCTGATGTCTGTTCACTGTTGTGACATCACTATTCATTTAAGAAGAATTGATTTCTGACTCTGTTGAGTTGTTCCAATCCATGATTACATGGTGTGGCTACACTTACTCATGGTTTTGATTTCTTTCATGTGACTTAAGATGAATAAGGATCTTTTCCAGATCAACTGTTTGTGAGAGGGGCGATGAGCCTCCAAAGCTGCATGCAAGGCAAACGCCCTACGACTGTGCTATCACTCCAGCCCGAGCCTCCAAAGCTAGCTGGCTTCCACAACACAAACGCTCTCTCCGACCACCACTGGGACTTCCTGCTTCCTACAGACATGAATTATCTGTGTGGCTCTTTGTTTACCATTCCTGAACTCAGTCGAATTGTGTCTAGCGGGGACCTTGAACTCAACCTTGTGCCCACACCTCTTTGCAGAGAATGGTAATGCTGAGAATTTAGCGAAGCTATTCCATGGTATTGCTGCCTTCGCATGCATTTCTGTTTCCATCAAACAGTCTGTGGGGGGCCTCAAACCGACACTGGCCGCAGATGCAAACACATGCCCTAGTTAACAGCCTGCAGAGCCACAAGTAAATGTAAGTGCCAGATATGATGTTCCCAACGGCCCGTGTGATAAGGAGCTGGCCCTGCCCCCCAGGGCCTTCTGAACATCTCCAGATAAAACCCCAATAGAGCTCGGTCTCTTTGCTTTAAATTGACTGGTCCTGCCTTAGCCCAGGAACCCCAAAACATTCCACCCATGGCCTCTAATGAAAGATTTATGTTCCAATGTCCCAGCACCCCCTACCCCCCGTCCCCACCCAGTTATCTCATTCTTGGTCCCTGTGTGAACCAGGTTTTCTCTCCCCAACTCTCTCCTCTCTCCTTCACCCCCAGTTAACTCTGGAGGCATACCATGGAGTTCCTCCAAGCCCTGTGAGTAAAAACTGGATTTCAGTTTCTCTTGTGGTCTCTTGAGGAGCCTGGAAGCTTACATCCCATACTCAGGAGCTCTACATAATGCATGAGAACGTAACGCAGTGGCCAGGGGGTACACATCCATGCCTCCATCCCCCCTCTTCTGTGTTTTCTGTGGGTGCTCTGTGAGGCCTGCTGCTGCAGTGCTCACTCTCTCTTGCTTATTCCCATGTGGTTCCTACAGAACTCAACAATTCTCTGTCAAATGCACTGGATGGAAAGTGTCTCCAAGCTCTACAGAAAAGAAATTTGGAGCTTGTATATTGTTTTCTTTGGTTGATTCATGATCATTTCCAGGAAAACGGGCTAAGGGTGGTGTTGGTGAAGTATCGGTACAGTCCATTCTTTGGGGGTAAACTTTGGGGAATAAACTTTGGGGAATAAGGAAATAGCTGTGGTGGGACAGAGTCCGTTGTTAAAAACAGAAGGCGCATGCTAGAAGCAAAGAGGAAGGCGGGGGGAAAAACGGAGGAGATAGTCCGACACAAAGGAGAAGTAACTCTCTGTTCTGAGCACAGTCTTTGTTATGTGAGTTCCAGCACGTAATGACAGGCAGTCTGTGGAGGGCTGTACTGAGCCCATGCTGAAGCAGGAGTTATTAACAGCAAATGTGAATTCTCTCTCAGGATCTGGAGTGAGGAGCTCTCCAGAGACCGAGCCAGGGAGACAATGGCACTGCGGATTAGGCAGTGCTTAGCCCGCTATGTAACCAGGCACTATCTCCCCCTCCAAATTAAGAAGGAATTTAGTTCTCTTTGCTTAGAAAGAGAAGTTTTATTTATTTTAGGACAAAGTAATTTGATTTGCAGATTTGCTATTAAACATGACACAGGTAAAGAGAGTCGGTTTTCAAAAACTTGCATGCAAAGGGAACTTGTTTCAACCCTAAAGTGTTCAACTGGATACTTTTTGGAAACCCAGAAGATATTCCCAGGTTCCCAGGTATCTCTGAATTAGCTTGAATGCTTCAAAAAGAGTCTGCCTTGAATCGGAGAGAGCATGAAGGGGTTCAGGCGCTTGCCTTGCAAACTGTTGACTCTGGTTTAATCCCCAACATATGATCCTCTAAGCACTGAGCCAGGAACCCCCCCAAGCAGCACTGCCAGCCGTGGCCCATCACCCCATACCACCCCCACCCCCAATCCACCCAAAATTCTGCCTCCTTGACCTTCCAGAATCAGAAATTTGGATACAGAGGAATCTCTGTGAGCAGGTACCCTTTTATGAAGTGAGTGAGCCGAACACAAATTTTGTGCCAGGCCCAGATTTCCCAGTTGAAGCAGGCAGTTTGCTCACCTGATTGTGAATCCAGAGGGAAGGCGGGTGGTTCGCATATTTCACTGCCAATTCTATCATCCTCTCTTGCTCTAACAGTTTGGGGCTGGAGCAGATTGAGAAACCACCAACCACAGACACCCCTGGGATAAAGAAATCAACCCTAAAAAGAAAAAGGCAAGAGGGGAAAAATTGACTAAAATTAATAAAGTGGCTATTATCACAACTTACATAAATATGAATTATAAAATCATTCCATGGACAGGTAAACTTCTACTTAGAAGACACAAACAACCAAGTTAGATTCAAGATAAAATAAAAATGCGAAGATTACTACAAGTGAGTGAGTAATTTTATTTATCTAATTACTGTTGTGAGTATAGTAGCATGTTTACAATAGTGTTAATGTTTGTAATTTTGATGTACAGTCACAATACACTTCCCACAAAGATAGGTTCAGAAGGATTCACTGGTGAAGTCTACCATTTAATAAGAATTAACCCTAATATTTCACAAATTATTTTTTTAAATCCCAGAAAGGTGCATTTTTTTTGGCTCACTCTGTGAAGCCAGTAACACCAAAATCAAAGAGAGATATCATAAGAAAAGAAACTATAGATCAGTATCTCTTGGGAATACAGATGTAAAAATTCTAGGAATATAAGGAATATAAGTGATTGAACATCTGACAATCACTGAAATATACAGCTTATTAGAATAAAGTACAAAAGCCAAATGACCATCTCAATAGACAAAGAAAGGGCATTTGACAAAATTCAACACCCTTACATTGAAAAAAAAAAGGCAAAATCAGAATCAATGGGAACACCCTCAATCTGCTAAGGAGCATCTAAAACCAACACCAGGACCAGAGCACTGGTAGTACAGTAGGTAAGGACGTTTGCCTTGCACTTGGCCAACCTGAGTTCTAATCCCCGGCATCCCATATGGTCCCCCAAGTACCTCCAGGAGTAATTCCTGAGTGCAGAGCCAGGAGTAAACCCTGAGCATCACTGGGTATGACCCAAAAACGCAAAATAAATAAAACCAACACCGACACCTAATGCCATTCTCAATGGTGAAATGAGTGGGTTTCCTCCAGAAGAAGAAAAGTAGACAAGTGCTCCCACCACTTCTACTCTGCACTGTATTAAAGTTAAGCTTCTTAAACTGTGGGTCACAACCCCACATAACCCTGCAACTCATAACTGAATGTGGAAGTCACACACACACACACACACACACACACACACACACAACCTGGCAACAGTGAAAGGAACGCTCAAAATTAATTCAAACTCAAAGTTGTAATGAATCTGCAGTGTTGCACACAGAACTTGTCATATTTCTCAGGCAAAACAGGGTCATGAGGGAAAAAGTTTAAAAAGCCCTTGTAGCTCCAGAGCTTCTAGATAAGGCAATTAAGCAATTAAGAAAATAAAGTAAGAGGCATGTAGACTGGAAGAAATATCAGATGACATGATGCGACACATTTAAAAAATCTGTGTAACCTACTATTAAGATATTAGGACTAAGCAAGTTCAACTGGGTTGAAGGAGACGAGATCAACATACATAAATCAACTGCATTTCTGGGCACAAGCAATGAATAATCTGAACATGACACTAAGAAAACTAATTCCCCTCATCATTGTGAAAGAGAATAAAATAACTTGGAATAAATTTAAGCAGTATCAATATTATAGTTGAATACTGATAACTACTATTTAAAAATAAAATTAAGCATCTAACAGAGGAACATTTCATGCTCATAAATAAGAAGACCTCATATTGTTAAGATGTCAATTCCACCCGAATTTATCCACGGGCCCAATGCCAATATCTATCAAAATCCTAACTGATTTCTCTACAGAGAGGGCAAACAAATCATAAAATTAACACAGAAATTCAGAATTGTTAAGCAATCTTTAAAAGGAACATCAGAAGGCTAGCATTTTCTGCTTTTAAAGGTTACGCTAAGGTTAAAATCAGGACCACTCCATGGTACTATCACAAGGACAGACATAGAGATCAATAGAAAACAATAGAAAGACCAGAAACAAACCCTTAAATTTATGGTGTACTACTTTTCAGCAAGGGTACTAGTTAATATTCAACAGCAAGGAACATTGTTTTTAACAAATGGTGTTGGAACAAGTGAACACCCACATATTTTTAAAATAAAGATGGGGGGATGCTGTGGTGCACCTGGCAGAGTGGCAGAGTAGATGTCTTGCACGCACAGGCCCAATGTCCAATTCCTGGCACCAGGTGTTTCCCACCCCTCATCCCCTGCCAAAGCTGCTGTGGCCCTTCTGACACCCAAGCATCACCAGATATGGCCCTCGACAATAATTTTTTTAAAAAGAAGAACCCTTATCTCACACCTTATATAAAAAATTAAATCCAAATAGACCATAGTCCTATAAGAAAGAGTTAAAATTATTAACTCTCAGAAGACAATTTATACAGTAGTGATTCTTAGACATAACACCCAAATACAAAGGATAAAGGTGTGTTGCCTTGCATGTGGGCTGATCCTGGTATGATCCCTGGCACCATACGGGTCTACCAGATACTGCCAGGTAACATCCTGCAGGGTGGTCTGGGTAATCTGAGCGCCACAGGGCCACATTCTCAGGCCTCTGCCTGACCCCTTCAGTGGACACTTCCAGAACACTGCTTGGGAGGTCCTTCCCCCATAAACTGAAAATGTGTGTGTGCTGCGAATGATACCATGAAGAGAGTTGGAAGACAATCACAAAGCGGGAGAAAACACCCCCCAAAAAATATAATATGGGAATTGCATACAATTATAAAACTTAACTCTGAAAACAGTACTAAAAAGACAAATAATCGAAATAAAACTAGACAATGGATTCCCCCCCCACACACACAAAAAAAACCTTCACCAAAGAAGATACATAAATGATTACTAAACACACGAAAAGATATTCAACATCAGTGTTCAGGAAAATGCAATTTAAAATAACAATGAGCCACCATTTCACATTTGCTGGGATGGTTGACTATTATAGAAAAAAAAGACAAAAAATAGAAAGCTGGGGAGATTGTGGAGAAAGCGGAACCATTATATATCGCTGCTGGGAATGTAAAATGGGGAAGACTTCGGAAAAGAGTTTGTCAGGGGCTGAATTATTAAACAGTTACCATAAGACCAACAGCTCCACTCCGAGTTTTAGGCTCAAGATAAATGAAAATACACGGGGAATCAAAAACACCTCCATGAATGTTCGTGGCAGCTTTATAATGGCCTAAATACAGAACCACTATAAATTTTCATCAGCTGATGAGCAGATAACCAAAATGTTAGTGTCCATACCATGGAATGAAGCAGTGAAACAAGTCATGACATAGATGAATGGCCACTGACAGGAAGCTAAGTGAAATCAGTCACACACACAAGAGACCCCGACACGAACAGGCAGATCCATGAAGCCGGAGTTTTCTTAGGGGATGAGAAGCTCGTGAGTGATGACCGGTGGCGGGTGTTTAAAGGGCATGATGAAATATGCTAGCATCTGTATGTTACAGTGAGTATATCAAAACCCACCCAATTATATACTTTAACTCAGTAAATTTTATGATAAAAATACCTCAGTGAACATTTTTTTATTTTTTTTTTATTTTTTATTTATTTATTTATTTTTCTTTTTTTTATTAGTGAAAAACCATGAGGTACAGTTATAGGCTTACAAATTTTGTGCTTGGGTTTCAGTTATACAATGATCAAGTCCCCATCCCTCCACCAGTGCCCGTCATTTAATTAGTAAAAGAAAAGGTAATAAGGAAGCCTGGAACTGGACAAACTAAAAGCCTGGTGTGACTCTCTCAGTAATGAAAATCTGTGCTTTCTTCCTTTCTTCAAACCATATCCTAGAGTTCGGACTTCTTGAGTCTCAAGCCTTCAAAAATTCTATGCCACAGAGCCCTCCCTTTTCTCGGGTGGGGATTCTGGGAAATGCAACAAATTTAGACAGACACAAAGAAAAATGATTAGAACCTGGGAGGATAACAAATTATCTCTCCCATGTCCAGGACACTCATATATCTAATCAAGGAGTTTCTTAGCCATCAAAGAACATAAGTATCATTTCCCCCTGATTGTTTTCCAACCAAGAGACTTACATGAAAAGCACATGATGTTCTCCACTGATTTGAACCATGACCTTAGAAGATGTTTTCTCCTGATCTGTGGCCTTAAATATCCTGTTTCTTTTCTTTTTCTTTTTTGTCGTCTTAAAAAACCACTTCTGAACTGGAAGAGCTCCAGAAAAGATCCCTATTCCATCTTCGTTCCTAACATTTAACTCTTATCCACAGATATTTTAATTCCCCTTTCACTTCAGACAAGACACAAATTTAAAGAGACTATTGTTAACCGTTATTAACACAACTGCTACACGCTTCTATGCTGTCAGAGTATTTACAGCATCCCTGTTTAAAAAGGGGAAGAAAAAAAAAGATCAATGAGCTACTTTTGCAGTTTCATCGCCAGCACTACAGCGCCCTCTGCTGCTCACTGTTGACAGGCGTTCTCCCAGCTGACAGAAGAAATGAATGAATTCTAACAACTTTGGAAAACCTCATTTAGAGAGAAAAAAAAAGACTCAAATGCTACAGAAGAATTCGAATGACACAAAAACCTAATTCAAATGGATTTAATAAAATATGCACTATCGATGTGTAAAACCTCTAACAAATCATTAACGTTTAATGGTTTAATTTAAAATTCCCTTTGTGCCAATATATGATTATAACTGGTTGCTTATATCACAGTTCTGTTGATCCATTTTTTTCCTGCTTATAGACAATTTCTACACGCATTTGTAAACAAATCTTTTTTTCTGGACATATATTTTCATTTATTTTGGGTAACAACTTAATGTAACTACTAGGCCATGCTGTAGGTCATCAGTTGAGCTGTATTAAAATCTCTCAGACCTTTTCCCAAGTGGTTATATAATCTTACATTTTCTAACAAAGCATTAGAGTTCAACTTGCTCTACCTCCTAGAGTCTTTTAAATACTTTCCATGTTGGTGGATATGTGGCGATATGTAACCTTTCGGAAATTAATGCTTCCCCAATGATTAGTGCTATTATTCTTATTGATCATTATTTTATCTTCTGTGTAAATAGTT